AACTGATATGTTATTCCCTTCTTGAGCCAAATCTGATGAGAGTAAGGTTCAAACAATGCTCATCCCCTCCCTTCTTTCCCTCTGCTGTAATAGTTTTTGTGTCTTTTCCTGTAATGTAATTTACCCTTGTCTGCCTCCTCCTTTTCTCAGTACATTTTCTAGATCAGATTAATCCACTTACTTGGATCCATTTAACCCACTTGATTAGATTTTTTTTTATCATTACATCAAAGTCAACTATATCCACCCCTTTATGTATACTCCTTTAACATGGTGTAATAACAATACAGTTCTCAAGGTTGCAAGTGTCATCTTCCCTTGTAGGGATGTAAACAGTTGCCCTTATTAACAACATTTACCTTCTTATGTCTTCTTGAGTCTGTACTTGAAGATCAAATTTTTTGTTGAGCTCTGGTCTTTTTATCAGGAAGTTTGGAAGTCCCTATTTGTTGAATATCCATCTCCTCCCTTGAAAAATCATGCTCATTTTTGCTGGGTAGTTGATCCTTGGCTAATCCAAGCTCCTTTGCCTTATGGAATATCATGTTCATGCCCTGGTCTTTTAATGTAGAAGCTGCAAGGTCCTGTGTAATCCTGACTGTGGTTCCATGATATTTAAATTGTTTCTTTCTGGCTGCTTGCAGTTTCTCTTTCCTGGTAATTTTGGAATTTTGCTATTATATCCTTGGCATTTTCAATTTGGGATCTCTTTCAGGTGGTGATGTGGATTCTTTCTATGGTATTTTACCTTCTGGTTCTAGGACTTCAGGGCAGTTTTCCTTTATGATTTCCTGAAAGATACTGTCCAGGCTCTTTTTTCATCATGATTTTCAGGTAGTAATTTTTAAATTGTCTCTCCTGTCGATTTTCCAGGTCAGTTGTTTTAAATGAGGTATTTTTATCTTTTTCATTTTTTGTTTCTGTTTGACTGATTCTTGCTCTCTCATAGAGTCATTAGTTTCCATTTGTCCAATTCTATTTTTAACAATTGTTTTCTTCTGTTAGTTTTTGTCCTTCCTTTCACCAATTGTTTTTTTAGGGACTTGTTTTCTTCAGTGTACTTTTTTTCCAATTGGCCAATTGTATTTTTAAGGACTCTTCTACCTCTCTCATTTGACTTTAAAATCCTTCTTGAGCTCTTCTAAGAAGGCTTTTTGGGCTTCAGACCAGTTCATATTCCCTTTTGTTGCAGATGTGGGTTTGTTGACAATGTTGTCCTCTTCAGAATTTCTGTCTTGATCTTCACTTCTCATAATATGAATCTATGGTACGTTTCTTTTTACTCATGGTGTTTCTTATTCCTGGCCTTTAAAGAGATTGAGCTCTCCTGATGGGGAGCAGAGAACACTGACCCAAGCTTCTTGTATTGGGAGCCTTGGACCTCGTCACTGGCTTTGTGTGCTGGGGCCTCCGATGTTGGCAGTTGGAGGCTGTAGAGTTCTGGCAGCTTACCTGGTGTTGGGCTGGAATCAGCAACTGGAACTCAGGTAATTGGGTAGTCTGGCCCCCAGAGGTTGCCTCCTTTTCCTTTCCTTTCACTTTCTTCAGCTCCTTTCAGATGGACGTTGCAGGATGTTTATCCATCTGGGGCCCCTTGAGCGCTTCACAGAGTTTTGCTGAGGCAGTGGAAGACTGCTGTAGAATCCCGAGGCACCTGGTGGTTTTCTGAGCTGGTTTCCACCATTTCCTCCACCCTCATCGAGGCACTTGGGGGTCCAAGTGTTGGTGTTTGTCTGCTCTACCACCTGGGTTTCAGGATCTCCTCCTGGTATGCTAAAGTTGGTCTTTCTGCTCTCTGGCTGGGATGCCTCTGGTACCATATTGCTCTCCTTCCCCCAGGGCAAGAGAGGCTTTTCCCATTAATCCCTCAAGCAACCTGGGCTACTGGACTGCTGCAAACCATCTTTCTTCTTGTTTAGCTATTCCAGGGTTTTTCCTGGGGTGATATTTTCTGGGCTTTCAGAGGTTAAGGGAGGGTAAGAGCGACTTACTTCTTACTCCACCATCTTGGCTTCTGGAAGCCTAAACTTTTTCTTGACATGTAACTGTAGAAAAAAATAAAATACTGTTAAACTTTAAAAAATAAACTACATGAATAAGAAAAAATTGTGAAAAGGGGGCCCCAAGCTTTATATTCAAGGCTTGACTCCCTTCCCACCAAATACCAGTTCCACAGTGAACACATACAGCAAAAAGCAAAGAAACTAATTTATCTAAATTGATAGCAAAATAGAAATCAGAGAAAGTATACATAGGAGAATATATACCAGACAATACAAATTAGTTCTCCCATTGGGAGCAAGAGAAAGTGAAAGTCCTGGATCTCATCCAGAGGGAAATTCACCAAGGCTGTGATGTGGCAAGCTAGGAATAGGGACATTATAGAGACTGACAGTTCTTCTCATGTGGGTTTGTTCCCAGAGTCTTTCTCTTTCTTCAGTGATCTGAAGAGAGGTTGGCATTACACAGCTTCTCTATCAAGGTGGAAGCTAAAAGAACCCAAAGAAAGCAACTAGACTTGGGGCAGCTAAGTGGCACAGTGGATAGAGCACCGGTCCTGGATTCAGGAGGACCTGAGTTCAAATCCGGCCTGAGACACATAACACTCAGTAGCTGTGTGACCCTGGGCAAGTCACTTAACCCCATTGCCTAGCCAAAAAGAAAGAAAGAAAGAAAGGAACTGACTAGACTCTTCTTTCCCACTGTCAACAACTCTGCCTGCTCTTCATGCAGGTGTGGGGCATTGAGTAATCTTCTCCATCAATGTAAGAGTCTCTACAGTTGGCCCTTCAAACCAGGGGTACTCTAATACAAAACGAGAAGAATGAATAAAAATGAAAAAACAAACATATGGCATGCAATTAGAGTTGCTTGAACTTGTCCTATTTAGTCAGTCAGTAAACATTTATTAAGCACTGACCATGTGCCTGGCACTGTGTTAAGTGCTTGGAATACAAGCAAAGTTAAAGTAGTCCCTGTTCTCAAGGAACTCATAGTCTTCTTCTTGTTGTTTTGGTGAGGCAATTGGTATTAAGCGACTTGCTCAGAGTCATACACCTAGTAAGTGTTATGTGTGTGAGGCCAGATTTGAACTCAGGTCCTCCTGACTCCAGGGCTGGTACTGTATCCACTGTGCCACCTAGCTGCCCCTAGCTCATAGTCTTAATGGAAGAGACAACGTGCATACAACTATGTACAAGTAAGCTATAGTATAGGATAAATTAGAAATATTCAAAGAAGGCACTAGAATTAAGTGAGATTAGAAAAAACTTCTTGTAGAAGGTGAGATTTTAGCTGGGACTTGAAGGAAGCCAGGGAAGTTAGGAGGCAAAGATGATGAGGGGGGACATTTCAGGAATGGAGGAATAGCCAGTGAAAATTTCCAGTGTCAGGAGATGGAGTATCTTATTTGAGGAACAACAAGGAGATCAGTATTATTGGATCATAGAGCACATGGCAGAGTATAAGGTGTAAGTTCAATGTTGAAAAATGGGAAATGGATGGGAGAAATGACTGACCCAGATTAAAATCATTTCTTAAGAAGTTTAACCAATGTAAATAATATGTTTTAATAAGGAAGCCAAAGGAGCCTAGAAACCATCTCATTCAGTAAATAATTGATCTCTTTGTCACATTAAAGGTAATACTGCTCCCCTCCCCTCCCCTCCCCTCCTCTCCCCTCCCCTCCCCTTCCCGTCTGTTCCCTACACTTCCCTACCCTTCCCTTCCTTTCCTTGGACAAGTTTATCACATCATTCCCTCCCCTTTTTGTCCCTCTCATAACACTGGGTGAGAGGCTATTTCTGTCATGCTCTCTCCCAGAAATCACTGCTGTTTGTTCCCACTGACTCCCAGCTTTATTGATAAATATCTTCCTTTCTATTGATGATATGGTGTAATGATAGACCATAATCAAAAGTTGTAGCATTTTCTATTTATGCTCAGTAAGCTCCCTATGTCACATTTTTATTTAAAAGTTTTTAAATTATAAACTTCACTATCAACAAAAACTAACATTCAAAATAAATAAAAGAACAACAAAACTTACATGGAAGCATAAACTTATATAATTTGTAGTTTATTTAAAACATTTATAAATAAATATTTAAACGTTAATGGGATTGTCCTATTTGTTTCTGTTCCCCCTTATCAATATCTTTTCTTACATTTCTGGATTTTTGGCAAGATTGTGTTGTTATTATTATTTACATAATCATAGTCAAGAAGGCAGTGTGGTATAGTGGAAAGAGCAGAGACTGGAAACAAGACTGGAATTGAATCTCATTTCTGACAAGTGTGACTCTGGGCAAGACACTTATCCTCTTTGAACATTAGTTTCCTAATTTATAAAACATGATTAGTAATGCCAGGAGTACCTACCTCATAGAGTAGTTGAGAGAATCAAATAAAATCATGTCCATAGGGCATCCCAAAAGTCTTTGCTGTTTTGAGGTACAAGCTTAAAACTGTACAGAAATTTTTGGGACACCTTGTATAAAGTGATTTGCAAACTGTAAAACATTATATAAATGTCAACTATTGTTGTTATTGTTTTTTTTTCTTTTCTCTGCATTACTTCTGTATTTATGTTTTTTCTGTTACTTTTCTGTTACTTATATTTGTCATTTCTTACAGTGTAATACTTATAGTGTAATTTCACTGCATTCATATTACAGTTTGTTGAATTATTCCCCAGTTGTGGTACAGATTGCTTTTAAAACTTGTTGTCATAAAATTTAATCACTTTGATTTCTGATATGTCTTTGATCACAATGGATTATTTTTCAGGTGTATTTCAGGTTTTGATTTGTTGATATATTAACTTTTAAATTAAATAGTGATATGTTGTATAGTCTTTTTTCTTTGCCTTATTGTTATTGGGGTTATGTCATCTTTTCTATGTTTTAAAAAATTGAACAGTTTAGTATGTCTTTAGACTTTGTTTGATATGATAGAAATTCTGTAAATAGCTTGCATGATTTTGTTTGCCTTTTCAATAGGCATGACCCTAGCAGAATCTCTCAATCTAGATTCTCTTAATGAATATCTTAATCGTCTTGAAGAAAAATATGAAGAAATTAAACACCATATGATGGTAAAATACATCCCACACATGAGAAAGGCTGACTTAGATGAAGAAAAGATCCAGGTATTACAGAGGAGAGATATAGCTGAAGCAATAAACAACGATTTACAATTTCGGTATGAATTTATTCTGTAAAAAGCTTAAAATGTGTATTATTGCTATATTTAATATCACATGGTTTGAGACCTAGTACATTGATTATTTTTATCTTTATAGTCATAGAAAAACAGAAATGGTTTTAAGTGCATTTTCTACCTGGATACAATCTGACATGAGCATTTCTTTTCAAGACTTCATAACCCAAATTAGTGAAACTCAAAGACTTTTACAAGGTAACTAATATTTTTAAAAATAACATAAATCACGGAAGACAACTCCAAGGCAATGACTTGGTCATTTTTAATTGTAGAAAGCTTAGGAATGGGCCTAAAATATGCCTCGAGGCTACAGAATTCAATTTAGCTTTGCTACCAGTGTCTGTGACTAGTGAGCCTGTTGCTTTAACACCTTTCAGGTAATCAGTAAATAATAGTTATGGAGGAAGTGACCTGAGGAGAAGATGACTGGCATTGTATTATATCAATAAAGAGGGAGATGGTAGGGAAGCCATGGGGCCAGTGATGATGATATGCCACAATTGTAGCATGAAGTCCTTGAGTTAAGTATATCCTTATTGGGCTGTATGTAGGAGATGACAGGTTTCTGGGATTAAATACATCTTTAAACATCTGTGCGTGTTGCAACATTTCAGATGATCAAGCACTTGTTGAGGAGTTACTTGAAGAAGACCCGAGCAAGGCTAAGGAAGCTGAAGTGTTGCTTGACTACATCGAAAGGCAAATAGAAAACAGCTCATGTGCAGCTGATTAATGGGCTATTATTCAGTTTTGAAACTTTAAGCTTTTTTCTAGCTAGCAAATTAATGTTTCATAGAATATTTATTTTTAAAAATAAATCAATGCAAAGAAATTGCCAGACCGAGATCTTAGATTTTCCAGGATTGACATAATGTTAGCGCAAGTGGGTTTTGTTTGGTTTCGTTTTTTATGTTTTTCAGCCCATTCTCCATGCCCCAAGCCATCCAGAATCATACTGTCCTGGTTAATACTGCTGCTTTTCTCATTTCTTCCTAAAGCCTAATTAATCTTCCTGCTGAATAAGAGGTTTAAAGAGATCATTGACTAGTAAACTCTATAAAAATAATGAATAAATGTGGGCTCATTAATGAATTAAAATTTGTAAACCTCATACTGTAAGATGATGTTAAGGATAAATATCATTTAGCTGTTTTTAGCTGTTAACTTACTGAATGCAAAAGCAGGAGGAAAAAACTATGTTGTATTACTTGAGTGAAAATGTGTTACTCTCTTATCTCTTATCTTCCCTTAAATGCCCAATTTGGGATATGAGAGAAAATACTTGTTTTATGTTGCCAGCTGTTATTGTTATTATCATCATCATTATCATTATAATTACCTACCCTCATACTAGGGGATTCCAAAATATATATTTGTATATACATATCAAACTCCATAACCCCACGTTCTTCATCCTACTCATTTCCTTCCCACGTAAGCCACACACAAAGATGGTCATATCTTGATCTTGCCGTCACCTACAAATGTACCACTTATATGTTTATGAACTCTGCGAATCTGTTATCTGATCGCAATCTATTAGCTTTCCATATTTACCTCTGCCATCTAATACCATACCTTGTTCTTCATTTACACTGAGACCTGCATTCCTTTGACCCCTCGGTTCTTTCTAAGGCTATCACCTCTTCACTAAGTTACCCTTTCCTTCTTTCCCTATCTTGACAACCAGGTAAACCAGTTTTTTACCTTATCACTGTCCTTTTGAGTCATCAACCCCCTTATTATATCACCAATTGTGCCCTACATAGCCTTAGCCTTCAATCATTTCCACTATCAACAAAGGTAGAAGAGGTCACACAACTGTTCTGCCTGGGTTTACTACAAATTTATGTTACATAACCTCAACTGAGCCTTCACTGATACTAGCAATCCTTTTAGACCATACTAATTAATTCATTTATCCTATTCACCACAGCATCTCTTCTAACCCTTTTCAGCCCTCTCAAACCTTCCATGGCTCTTTCTTCACTAACCCTCTCAGCTGAGAACCTTGCTTACATTTTGCTGAAAAAGTAGAGGACATTTGCCAAGAACTCTCTTTTCTCCTTTTCATTATGTACCACTCAAATTCCTTCTGCCATTATTTCCTTTTTTTCCTGTCTTACATAAAGAGGTAGCCATTCTGGCCAAGGCAAACCCCTCTACATGCATCTTTGATTACATTCCATCCCATCTCTTTCAGCAGATTGCCCCCTCTGTCATCACCACTCTCTCACTTATCTTAATCTCTCCCTGTCTATGGATTGCTTCTCTATTGACTATGAACATGCCCATATCTCTTTCATCCTCAGAAAACCCTCACTTGATCCTTTTTTCCCTATCACCCCATTTCTCTCTTGCCTTTTGTGGCTAAGCTCCTTGAGAAGGGCATCTAAAATAGATGCCTTCGCTTCTTTTCTCTTCTTCTTTTCCTAACTGTATACAGTCCAGCTTCCAGCCTCATCATTCAACCAAAATTGCTCTCTCTCTAAATATGCCAGTAATCTCTTAATTGCCAAATCCAGTGGCTTATTCTCAACCCTCAGCCATCTTGACCTCTTTTCAGCCTTTGACACTATCAATCACCCTCTTCTTGGTACTCTCTTTAGATCATAAGGACACTATTCTCTCCTGGTTCTCCTCCTATCTTACTGTTCCTTCTGAGTCTCCTTTGCTGGGTCTACATTCATTCAGGTCATGCCTGCTAATTCTGGTTATTTCACAGGACTCTGTCCTGGGGCCTTTTTTTTCTTCCCCAATACTATTTTACTTGATGATCTCATTTACTTTTATGGATATCAGTTATCTATGTTGATGATTCTTAGATCTATGTATGCAGCCCTAACACTTCTGCTGACCTCTAGTCAATCTCTCATCTCCATGTCCATCAGACATCTTGAGCTGAATATCTTGTAGACATCTTACACTTAACCTGTCCAAAACTGAACATATAAACCTTTTCCACCCTCAAAATCTCCCCAGTCCCTCAGGCTGGCAACCTAGGTGTTATTCTCACTCTTTCTAACCCCTATATCTAATCAGTTGCCAGTCTGTTGAGTTCAGCTTTGCAACATCTCCTGCATTTGCCCCCTCCTCTCCCCTGATACTGCTGACACCCTGATATAGACCTTTATCTATTCACACCCCTGCCCCCTACTCAGTAAGCTCCAGTGGCTCCCTATCATTTTCAGGAACAAATGTAAAGTCTTCTGTTTAGTATTCAGAGCATTTTGTAACCTATCCTTACCCCCACCTTAACCTTTCCAGTCTTCTTACACCTTACAGCCCCGCAATGACACTGTCCTAATTGCTCTCAGCTCCTAGCGTTTTCATTGACTGCCCACTATGTCTGGAATGATTGCTCTCCTCGTCTCTGCCTCCTGGCTTACCTTCAAGTTCCAGCTAAAATCCTATCTTCTATGAGAAACTTTTCCCAATCTTTCTTAATTCCTAGGTCTTCCCTCTGTGGATTACTTCCAATTTATCTTGTTGTTTTTTTTTTTTTACCAGAGTTATTTTCATGCTTTTCTTCCATTAGATTGTGAGCTCCTTGAAGGCAAGAATTGTTTTTTGCCCTTCTTTGTATCTCTGACACTGAACACAGTGCCTGGCACACAGGAGACACTTAACAAATACATATTGACTAGTTATTAGTCATTAGTTCTGCACTATATTAGTGCTTCCTTAGCCTTATTCGTAGTTCCTACTGTTGAGCACCCAAGAATATTGAATGTAAGGATTAGAAGTTACTTTTAGTTTTTAATTGCATTGCTGTACATGATGCTTTATGTTTGCATGCTTCATTATATCATATTGTCATCATAAGTCTTGTCATCTGTTATTAGATCTTTCCCTTCTCTTCTTATTTTTTAACCTATCACCTTGTCTATCTTATTGGGATATCTTTTGTCATTGGCCTTCCCTGTCATCATCTCTTCTACACGTGGTTCATCTTTAAGATTACATCTAAAATTAGAATTTTGTCATTATTTTTCCCTCCCACTGCTCTCGTCCTTCACCTTCCATTGAACAATTAAAATAAAACCCTTCACAACAAATACAAATAGTCCAGCAAAGCAAATTTCTTCATTGGCCATGTCCAAAAATGCATGTCTCATTCTAGATTTTAAGTCCCTTTCTACATAATTCATCTTCAGTCATCTGAACTTGTGGTTTATCATTGCATTAATCAGAGTTCTAAAGACTTTCAAAGATGTTTTTCTCTGCAGTGTCATCATGTGTAAATTGTTCTCAGAATTCTGCTATCTTCACTCTGTTTTTCCTCTAAAACTATCTATTTGATCGTTTCTCATATTCATCCCTTTTCAATAGTATTTAGATCCTGCCGGATTGTTTTACTTTTTATTGAGAGCTGTGTATTCCATTTAGGTAACTATGTAAAAATATAGAGGTCTTTTTGCTCTGAAAGGAGAGAACAGATATTTAACTATTCATTAGTATGTCATCTGAATTATCATATTACTTAAACATTCCATTGAGTATTTATTGCCTGGCATCCTAAGTACTAGGATCTTTTTCTCTTACTAGACTTTGTACTCAGTATTCTTCCCAAAGCTGGTCCTCTGGGCAAGAAACATTTTTCTCTTAGAATATAAATGGTGAAATGGATAGAGTACTAGCCTCACACTCAGAAAGACCAGGGTTCAAGTTTGTCTCTGACAAGATAATACCATCTGTGTGACCCTGGCCATGTCATTTAACCCCTCAATGCCCTAGGCAATTCTCTAAGACCATAAGTTGTAGAGCAAGTACTGATGGGTATTGGTATTGGAAATTTCCTATGGGAATTCTCTGCCAGTAAAATCACAGGTTTGGTCCAAAAAATAATAAATATCCCCTAAAGATACTGTTTTGAATTAACTTCCATCTATCATTCAACTAGTTAAGTCATTCAACTAGTATTTATTAATTGCCTATTATATGCTGGGTGTTGTGCTAAGTGCTGGGGATGTAAAGAAAGGCAAAAATGGTACCTGCTCTCAAGGAGCTCACATTCTAATGGGAGAGACAACATGCAAACAACCATGTACAAGCAAGATATATATTGGATAAATTGGCCATAGTCTGAGAGGGAAGGTACTAAGATTGAAGAGGACTGGGAAAGGCTTTTTTCGGAAAGTGGGGCTTTTTGGCTGTGATTTGAAAGAAACCAGAGAAAAATGAAGATGGAGAGTTCCAGGTATGGCTTACCACCAGTGAAAATGCTGGGTTCTGGGGAACAGAGTGTTGTGTGCAAGGAATAGCAAAGATGCCAGTCAGTGACTGGCCCTAGAAAATGTGGAAGGGAGTAAGATGTAAGAAGATTGGAAAGGTAGGAAGGGGTCGGGTACTAAAAAGCTTTAAAAGCCAAACAGGATTTTATATTTGATCCTGGAGATAATAGGGAGCCACTGGAGTTTATTGAATAGGAAGGGTGATATAATCTCTTTTATTTTGTTTTCCAAAAGTCACTTGCTAGTATTATTAAAAAAAAAATGGCACAGCATTTTGTAAATTCATTTATCACTTGAGACTGTTCTCTTAAACTTCCTTAAAGAAATAAAATGGTAGGCAACAGATTAATAGTAATATTACAATAATAACAACTAGCATTTATATAACACTTTCAGTTTTTCAAAGTACTTTATATGTGTTATTTCACATTATCTTTGATCCCTACAACAATCTTGTGAAGTAGGTGTCATTATTGTCCTTATTTTCAAATGAGAAAACTGAGTCAGAGAATGATTAACTGACTTGTTCAGAGCTACACAGCCAATAGGTATGTGATATAGGATTCAAACTCAGGTCTTCATGGCTCCAGGTCCAATATTCTATCCGCTATGTTACCTGTTAGGATTAGAAACATAATATTAGAGTGCTTGGAAATGATTATGATAATACTAGAATGGCTTTTGTATATTTTATATTATTTTCTTCTGTATGCTTAATCTGTGTCAGACCATTTAACCAGTTTCTTTTTATTTGGGGGGGGTGGACATTACAAAATGTAATGATGATAGGTTCAACGAATTGCTAGTAAATGGTGAATATGAGTCTGCAGCTGTTTTTGCAGTGAACAGTCCTAGAGGAATTCTTCGAAACATAGGGACAATGAGGAAATTTGAGGGTAAAGATTTCTATATGCTTTTTTTTTTTTGGTGAAGGGTGGTGTGGACATGTGATTTCACTGGTAGAGGGAACTCTCAATGAAGATATTCCCTTGACCAATGCAAATTAGCAGTTTATGATATTGGAGAGATGTCGGGGATACTGAGAAGTTAAGTGATTTGTTCAGGGTCACAGAGCATGTGGCTGTTAGAGAAAGGACTTAAACCAAAGTAGAGTCACCTGAGTCTTGGCACTGTATTCATTATACCTTGCTGCCTCTCCTGGGAATATCATATATCTATAAACATTATTATAAATTCTTTTTCTTTTATCTGAGAGACAGCAAGGTTGTGAACAAGTCACTTAGCATCTTTGTGTCTAAGTTCCCTCATTGGTAAAATGAGAGGATTGGGCTGGATAATTTCTAAGGTCCTTTATAATGTTAAACTTTAAATTTTAGAGATACTAAGGTGGGTAAAGTTCAATTAAAAAGAAAGAAGTTTTAAGCAATTTTGGTTTTTGGTTAAGTGTATTTTGTCTTAGAAAACCTATATAAAGCCTAGTTTTAATCTGACATAAATCTCAAAGGTAAAATTTTTGAGACATATGAATATATTCAACAGTCACTCTTTTTTAATGTTTTATTTTTTCCAATTACATGTAAAAACAATTTTTACATTCTTTTTTAAAATTTTGAGCTTCAAATTCTTACCCTCCCTCTTTTTCTTCCCCCTTCATTGAGAAGACAAGCAATTTGGTATAGGTTATACATGTGCAGTTATACAAAATTTTCCATGTTAGTCACTTTATGAAAGAAAATACTGACCCCTCAAAAAAGCCCAAGAAAAATAAAGTTAAAAAAAGTATGTTTCAATTTGCATTCAGACTCTATCAGTTCTTTCTCTGGAGATATATAGCATTTTTCATCATAAGTCCTTCAGAATTGTCTTGGATCATTGTGTTGCAGAGTTTAGCTAAGTCATTAACAGTTGTTCATCGTGCAGTATTGCTATTACTGTGTACACTGATTCTACTTTTGGTTCCATTCACTTCCCTTTGTATCAGTTCTTGTAAATCTTTTCAGGTTTTTCTGAAATCATCTTGCTTATCATTTCTTATAGCATAGTAGTATTCCATCACAAACATTGAAATCTTTGAAATTTGAAATTAACTAATTTTGGAAATTAGCCTATTTTTACCCATCTTTCGGCATTTAAAAAAATTAGTTCAAACCTGTGATTTCATTGGTGTAGAGAGAGATCTCGTCAAGTAGGTTTTCTCTACTAATGCAGATTGGCAGCTTGAGTCTTAGAGAGTTTCTTGAAGTATCTCCTGAGTGGTTAAATGACTTCAAAGGGCCCCAAGCCAGGAGGGGTCAGAGTTCAGACTTGAACCTGTTGTTCTGTGTCTGGGGTCTGCCCTTTTTCCACTGGAACACACTATCTCTCTCAATGCCTTTATATTGTCTTTTGGGTTACTTGCAATTTTGAATTTTGTAAGACTGTGATGTTACATGACTCATAGCCATTTAGTATATCTAGAGTTACCACTGATCTCTCTTTTTTTAAAAAAGGATTTTTATTGGTTTTTTTTTTTACACCACCAGAATTTGTTTCTCCCATCTTCTTTCCAGAGAGTTATCCCATATAACAAATACTATTTTTAAGGAAAAAGAAGAAAAATTTTAAAATAGTAATATATTGAAAAAGTATGAAAATATATGCAATATTTCTCCCACCTCTCTGTCCTCTTCTGTCCTCCCTACCCCCCACAAAGGAGTTAGGTGGTCAGGGGAGTCTTCTTATTTCTTTGGGGCCATTTTTTAAAATTTTGTAGCATTCACTTTTGATTGTTTTGTGATCGTTTTTTTTTTCATTTACATTGTTGAAGTCATTTTGTATACTGTTTTCATAATTCTGCTTTCTTTACTCTTCATCAGTTAATGTAAATCTTTACATGATTTCTCTACATTTATCACATTTACCATTTCTTATGGCACAGTAATATTGTATTACATTCATGTACTATAGTTGGTTTATTCATTTATCAATGAGTTAGTATTTACTTTGTTTTCAATTCTTTGCTATCAACAAATAACTTTTGCTATAAATATTCTGGTATATTTTTAATAGTCACTTTCTTATCAATAACCTCCCTGGAGACATAAGACTAGTAATAGGATCTCAGAGTCAAAGGATATAGACATTTTAGTCACATTACTTGCATAATTCCAAATTGCTTTTCAAAATGGTTGTACTAATTCACAGTCTTACCAACTGTGCACCAGGCTGCCTTCTTTCCATAATCCCTGCAACATTGACTTTCCATCTTGTCATCTTTGTCAGTTTGCTAGGTATAAGGTGAAACTTCAGGGTTGTTTTTATTTTTGTTCCTCTTATTATTGGTGATTTGGAGTATTGTTTCATGTGGTTGTTAATACTTTGCAATTTTTTTTGAGAACTGTTTGTCCAGTGATCTCTTAATTGTTAAATATGATGGCCTTTTCTTAATTCTCATTTTTCTTGACTTTTCTTCAGCCTTTTACACATTTTATCACTGTCTTCTCCTGGATACTCTCTCCTCTCTAGGTTTTCATGAAAGTATTCTCCCCTGGTTCTCTTCTTATCTGTCCAGTTGGTTCTTTTCAGTACACAATGCTACATTGTCCTCTAGGTCATATCTGCTGACCTCCAAGGCTCTGTCCTAGGTCCTCTTCTCCTCTTTTATACTATGTCACTTAATGATCTCATCAGTTCCCATGGTTTCAAATGATCTTGCTGCTTTCATTCTCTCCCTTGTGTACTCTCTTTTCCAGCCAAACTGATCTGCTTGTGGTTTCGTGAACTCTGCATTCACTCTTCTGACTCCATACCTTTGCACAGACAGTCCTTCATGCCTGTCTCCACCTCTCAGAATTCCTGGCTTTCTTCAAGGCCCAGCTCAGGTGCTACCTCCAATGGGGACCCTTTCCTGTTACCCCAATCATTTGAGTTCTTGCCCTTCTTAATTTATCTCATATTTACTTATAACTGTACATTTTGTATCTCCTTGGAGGAATATAACTCCTTGAGAACAGGAACTGCTTTTTGTTTTTTGTCTTCGTATCTCCAGCATCTAACTTAGTGCCTTGCATGTATTGGTTGTTTAATATATATTGGTGGAATTAAATAGTTTAATAAGTTCGGTAAAGATATGGAATGGGATAGCATATTTTCAAAATGACTACTAATTTCAAATGTCAGCTTGCATTTGTAAATGTGTAAACTGGAGAATAAATGCTAGACCTTTCTTGAAAATGGGAGATTTAATTATTCTTAAACTATAAAATTTCTTCACAAATTTTATTTTTTCTTTCATTTATCTATTTATTTATTTATAGCATTCATTTTGAAAAATTTTGAGTTCTAAATTCTCTTCTTCTTCCCAGTCCCTACCCTACTCTTTGAGATACCCATTATACATGTAGAGTCATGTAGAGTCATGCAAAACATATTCCTGTATAAACCATGTTCAAAAAAAAAAGAAGCAAGAAAAGTAAAGAAAGTGAAAAATAATGTTTCAGTTTGCATTTAGGGTTTATTAGTTCTCTTTCTGGAGGTAGATAGCATTTTTCATCATCTTCACAAATTTTAAAAGAACACCAACTAAAGTATGAAATGAGATAAGTAAATAATATTGGCTAAAACATTTGGCTCAGTACTTTTTTTCCCCCCCTCTAGATGTTGGTAAAATTAAAGGGAAAACTCTTCCTTTGCTGTTATTCTTTGAGGCTCTTTTCAGCACAAGTCATGCTGCTAAAAAACCTGTTAATGCTCATTTGACTCTGGAAGGAATTAAATGTGGATTATTTGAAAAACGGTTGGATCTGGTTATACATTGGGTCACCCAGCAGAGGTAAGTGAAACAGGACTAAGCTTATTTTTTGACATGGTTTTTAAAGGCTATATACTATTCTCCTTAAAATTTTTATCCCCCCCCTTTTAAGGCAATTGGGGTTAAGTGACTTGCCCAGGGTCACACAGCTAGTAAGTGTCAAGTGTTTGGTCTGAGGCCGGATTTGAACTCGAGTCCTCCTGACTTCAGGGCCAGTCTTCTATCCACTGTGCCACCTAGCTGCCCCTTATTTTCACATTTTTAAGAGAATTCATTTGAACCCAGAGTTTTGATCACTAAATAATGAATTTATAGCTCTTTATAGCTATATGTCTCATAGCTATTTTATAACTCTTTTCCATTTTAAGCCTCAAGAAGAGGGGAATGGAGTCTTTGCCCATTTGATTTGTTACTGAACAGAAATGATGGAAGCATTGTAGATACAGAATTAGACAATGTTCTAATCCCTGCAACTATACAAAAAGCGAAAAAGATAGTTTTATTGCAGTCAGTAATGAAGTTGAAAGAAGTTTCAGTTTTGTGAATATAATTTATACAAGGATGATAAATAGTTTAACAGTAAATCACATTGGATTTGTTGACAGATTTTTTTGGGGAAAGGATTAACAGATTGTGATGGAACTTCATTCGTCAAATTATGGTTACATTACAGCTGTAGGCTGCTAAGGCATGCAAGAGTAGAGCAAAAACCAACAAAAGCATTCTGTGAAAATCAATTGGCTATATGAAATTTACAATAAAGTCTAATGTGTTTCATTATTATTTGTAAATTTTGTGCTATGCATCCTTTATACCAGTTCAGTTTTATAATAAAATTATCTACATCTAAAAACAAAAGAATAGAGGAGAGTACAGAGCTGAATTTATTCACCAAGGAGTCAAAATGGTGAAACCAGTGCAGGGGGTGATGAACTGGGAAAGAATTGAAGGATAGAGGGATTTGAAGTCATGATGAGGACAAAGAATAGGGTTAGGCATGGGTTATAAGGCAGAATAAAAGATGAACTGATAAAGGAAATTCAGAATTCATGAATATGGAAATTGAATGCTTGTGGGTGATGGCAAAATCAAGGATATGACAATCTCTATGTGTAGCTGAAGTGGGTGAAGGAGTAGGTCGTGGGTAATGAGAAAATTGAGAAACTGGACAGTTAGGGTGTTTGAGAAAGTATCAATATATATGTTAGTATGCTACTATGAGGGCATGAGTTGAGGACAAAAGAAAGGTTGTGACTGTGAGTGAGGCATTGAACTCATTGAGGAAAGAAATAGAGTATACTGGAAGTATAGGTATATAACAGCTACCAGAATATTGTTTGGGTGATAACTATGGATTGAATGAATCTCAAAGAAGGAGAGATTACTGAGTGATGGTAGTAGACAGAGAGTCTGGAAGTCGCAAGGAGGAGCAAGGAGTATTTTGACTCTTCCATCACAAATAGTGAATTGAAGAGGAAGGGTGTAAGTAAAGGTGCCATCAGTACTAGAAAATATGAAGCTGGCCATGTCATTAGGAGTGAGCGAAGTCTCTGAGTGCTAGAAGATGGTAGGATAAAGGAAAAGTTTAAAGATGAAAGTTTGTTAACTGAAGCAGGCATTCCAGAAAGCACAGTGGAAGGGGTGGGTTGTTGAGGAGTAGAATGTTGATAGGGTTGAAGGGAATAGTAGGAATAAGAGAGCAGACAGAGGAGGATGCACAACAGGGTTTATACAGTGATAGCCCAGGGTTCAAAATTACTGAGATGGGAGAGTATAGGACGGGGAAGGAGTATGCTAACCATTGAAGAATGAGTTTAAGTGGATTATGAGTATTACAGAGGAATCCATTGAGAGGGGGATGTGATTAGGCTGTTCAGGGTCCTCCGTCAGTGTACCTTGTGGCAGATGGTTTTGTTGAGTTCCTGTGAGGCAGGCAGGAGCAAGTGATGTTGCAGACTGAAAGAATATTGATGGGAGACAGTAACTATCAATTTGAGGTGGATATAATTCAGGGTACTAGATAAAGCCCTAGGACCAAGACAGATGCCAGAGTCCTAGATCCAGGGGTAGCCAGGGTACCCTGGAAAGACTCAGAATCAAGGAGGCCACAGGAAGATAGGCTGAATCAAGAGGTCCCCTGGACATCCTGGAGTGAGGACAGGGGCCAAAAATGGGCAGTTTGGGTATAGGGCTGATACGGGGCTCCCTGAGAAGTCCCAGGATCAAGGAGGCTTCAGGCCTTTAATAGTTTTATGTGAAGTTGCATGTATTCAAATGTAAATAGTTATAAAGAATATTTAATTGCTTTTACTGACTTTAAAATTAAATTAATAATAAATCACTTTAACATGTATGTGAAACACATGTATAACCCAGACTCCAATCTCTGAGATGATGGACCAGATTCACCTTAGGGGCATCTCTTCCAATAAACACTTTGGCTCAGACTTCTGACAGAGTTTTCTCTAGGAACATAAAAATCTGACTCATTTTGTTCTCTGTAAATCAGCTTTCAACTTCCCTTCAGATATTGAATCTAACAGAGTATAAAATATGAAGTAAGTTTTATTTATCCTGGCAAAATGAAAAATAGGTTTGTGTGCAGGAAGAGGCAGCTAGGTAGTGCAGTGGAGAGAGTGCTGGTCATGAAGACCTGAGTTCAAATGTGGCCTTAGACACTTGAAACTCACTAGCTGTGTGACTCTGGGCAAGTAACTTAACCCTGTTTACCTCATTTCCTCATCTGTAAAATGAGCTGAAAAAGGCAACGGCAAACTACTCCAGTGTCTTTGCCTAGAAGACCCCACATGGGGTGACAAAGAGTAGGACACGTCTAAAACGACTAACCAACAGCAACGTGCAGGGAAACCATTGGCTTCTTTCCAGTGGGCGTTAAGCAACATTTCCTTCTTGTGAGTTCTCCTTTCCCTTGGTATCTCTACAGGGTGTCCTAAAAGTCCCCCTTGGGAACACCCTGTGTAGGATATGTGACTTGTAGCCATCAAAGAGAAGTTTCAGGTAGTTTCTTCATGTATATAATTCTCTACTGGGTCAATTCTACTTTCCTTTTGATTCTATACAGATAAACTGACAGAGAAAGATATCAGATGTGTATATGTATATACATATATACACATATATACATATACACACATACGCATGTATTTATATCTTGTTAGGCATGCACCAAAAAGAGTCAGATAAGTCCCTTCACTGTGTGGTCAGTCCTGAACAAGTAGGTAATTCTTGTCCTGGGTCCTTACTACCCCCGTTGAAGAAGTCTTTATTTCAATATTCAATTAAGATTGCAGCTTCAAAGTTGTGTCAGCAGTAATTTTGCTTCTACTTAAGAATTTTACTTTTTTTTTTGGTGAGGCAATCTGGATTAAGTCACTTGCCCAGGGTTACACAGCTAATAAGTTTCAAGTATCTGAGGCCGAATTTGAACTGAAGTCCTCCTGACTCCAAGGCTGGAGCTCTATCTACTGTGTCACCTAGCTGTCCCTACTTAAGAATTTTAATATGAACTCTAAATTCAGTCAGCCATCTAGTAATTATTAAGTGCTTTCTATGTGCCGATCACTAGGGTTACAAAGAAAGTCAAAAAACCAAAAAACTGAACAACCCCCCAAAACAAACAGCTCCTGCTCTTAAAGAGCTCATAGTCTAATTAGAGAAACAACATGCTAACAGCTGTGTACAAACTAACTCTATACCGGATAAAATGGGGGTATTCTCAGAGGGAAGGCACTGAGATGAAGGAGGACTGGGGAAAGGTTTAGAAGGTGGGGTTTGAGCTGAGACTTGAAGGAAGCCGGAGAAGGCAGGTGGCAGAGGTGAGGAGAGAGAATTCAAAACATGTGGGACAACCAGTGAAAATGCTCAGTCAGGAGATGGAGCACTTAGTTTGAGGAGCAACAAGGAGGCCAATGGCACTGGATTGCAGAGTGGAGGGGAGTAAGACTGAAAAGCAGTAATTTGATACCTTAGGAATGATAAGGTCACAAATGTGCCAGCCCTTGGACTTAGCCATTAAAAAGAAGTAGAAACAAAAAGAGGGTCTGAGAAGAGAGGAATTCCTGAGGAAAAAGATGTTGGAGAATATAGGGTTCTTCAAAATCTCAGTGCCCTGCTCTGAGACAGTCCCCCAAAGAAAAAAGGCCTCTTCAATACACGAGGAGAAAAATAGGGGAAAAAAGTAGCATTGGCACAGTAGTGACTCAGTGTATAAGGAAATGACCTACACCTCCTCTTTTCTGGGCACCATCAATCCAGAGAGAAGGTGGGATTCACTAGAGGGGAGTGTCTCATAATGCTCTCTGGAAAGAGCACTAGGGTTTTTCTGGGTACAAGCCTGTTTTGTGTTTTGTTGGGTTACATAAAACCTGTATTGTATTTGATACTTCATTAATCTCAGTGCTTGCAGGGAGGCTGACAACTTTTTTCGGAGACAACAAAATGGGTCAATCTTATGTTCTTAGATGAAATCCTTTGGAAGTATGAGCCAAAGAGCTTGTTATAGAGATGGCCCTAAGATTTATCTCGTCCATTATATGAGAGGCTAGGACAATTATCAAATGGATTACACTTATATACATAAGTGATTTATTGTGAATTTAACTTTAAACATTCACAAAATTGATTGAACATTATTTACAACTATTTATGTTTGATTACATAGGTTTTAATATAAGATTTCCCTTAAAATTACCAGTTTACACATGCCTCTTCATCCCTTTTAAACTTATTTTTATCCTTTTATCTCTATATTTATGCATACTTTGTACTTTTATATAATCATAATCAATATGCCATATATTGTCCTTATGGTTCTGATTTCTTGGCCTCATATTATTTCAGATGTGTCTTTATGCTTCCATAACAATTCACAATAATAATAAATGGCATTTATATAGCTCTTTAAAGTTTGCAAAGTACTTTACAATTATTATTTCATTTGATTTTAACAATAACCTTGAAGGGTGGGTACTACCATTATTCCCATTTTACAGCTGAGAAAA